AACACGAGTGCAGATAATGCATAGTTTGTACCCTACTAGGAGCATCTACGGAATGAGCCGCCACTCTCTCCAGTTGCATGATGGCAATGAATGCTATTGTTAATACGAGCACTGATGGCTATCCCACGACTGTTCCCACATTCGTGGTCGTGCTCGACTTATTGCACAAAGACCCATGAACAATGGTTCGCCCAGTACACATTTGGACACAAAAACGGCTCAATAAACTTACACCATCACGCAGCAGGGTTCCTGCTCTGGGGCAACACATCTGTTGTCCAAACGTCTTGCACAGAATCCACACGATTCGGAGTGCATACTGCCAATGGTGCCATTTATTACCTGTTGCCAGTGCTGCCTCCTTTTTTACTTGTCCAGAGAGAGCACTGAGTTGCCTGCTGGTTGATCTGGAGGCACAACATCAGCTGTCAAACATAGTTCATACAACGTACCAAGGGCTTTTACTGCTTGCTGTTTCCTCGCATACAAGAGTGACAGCAACAGGATTCATCAAACAAATTGCTTCTATCCCAGCACGATATTTACTTGAGAAAGGATGTGCTGCAAGCAAAGTGGCAGGAACATCACAATTTGCCAATGCAGCTAAAAGCAACAGAGCCCATCCAGCAGATGTGATGCTTTTGCAACATGCAAGAAGTCAAATGGAATTTTGGGTGATGTCACACAAACCAAAGCTTGTTTCCATGAAGAACATGCATACATTTGCCAACTACTGTTGTTGCTAAGCAAACTCACAGCACACTTATGGAAAATGCAAGCAGCTACCCACACAGCCAGCAACACACTGTCACCTCCATGCAAACAACTTTTTAATGCAGCATATATAAAGTCAGAACATTCTGCAAGCTTATCGCCTGAACGAATTTGCATTCGACTTCTGGAAATGAGAATGAAGTGCACTTAAGCCAAACACCGTGATGGCTTGCCTTAGTTTGTGCATGCCACGCTCGTATTCCTCAGCAGCAGCATGCAGCCTCCTCTGGACATGCCACAGAGATGACAAGGATGCATTTGTCAGAATGTGGTATCTGGTATGCCATAGTCAGCTGAATCTCCATCGCCACCACTCCCACTTGTTGAATGGCATTCTGCTGTAAGTGCAACTCTGCTTCCAGGCCAGGTACCATGTATGTGCAGAGCACGAAGCGGCACTTGTGCACAGACAAAGCACATCTAACTGAAGCTAACAAATTCGCATGGTGAGTACAATTGCAGAAGCAAAGACCCACCGACACTGCAAATAGGAACTCTGTGGCCACACCCACAGGGGCTGAACAGGGCTGCATCTGTTTCCAGGACAGCGTCTTGGTATGTACTGCCATTCTGCATCTTGGAAAGCAAACTTGAGGTATTGCAAACATGAAGTTGTCCCACTAAAGAACATGCAGCATGGAAAGGGGCACAAACTGGGGCAAAGTGTGCTGCTGAGAGAAGACTTTTGAAAATAGCTGACAGGCAGCCAGGAAGCTCGCTCAAGGATGCATAGGGGCATTTTCGACAAAGCAAGATCGCTACACTGACGCACAAGAACATTGAAACACCCCTGTTTTTTAGCCCAGTCTTAGTCCAGCTCTTCCTGGCCCCACCTCCAATTTCTGTCCTTCATTGGTGTATGAATCCAAATTGGTTTTCAGCCTCTCCAGGCGACGTTCTGCTGACCTGAACATGGACTGCAAGAATGACAACAGCCTGTCACCTCTCAAAGGCAGAATGAATCCTGCAGAAATAAAGGAGAATCACGTGTTTGATGCACTAGCATGCATGCATCACAAAAACACTGAAGCTGTAGCATGGCCTGCACAGCCACAGATAAGACCTTGATTGGAGCTGCACATGTGCAAAGGCAACATAAGCACAAGCAGATCTGCACCAGACTGAACAATCTTGTGATGTCACCAACTTTGGTTCCATTCTCACCTCTTCACTCTGGAATGATCTGAACATTTGCCGAATAGCCCACTGCCGAGCACCTAGAACAGGAAGGAAAGCTCAGATCCAGGCATGGAAGATGGTGGGCAGCATACAGAAGTTCATACACTAAGGGGTACATTTAAATTGACAAAATGGGCAGCAGAAATAGGAGCCTATCACAGCTGGCAGCCGTGCTGTGTGGAGTTCTATCTGGATCGCTGTGGACTGCAATGCCATGCATGTTCTTGCAATAAACAAGTCCCCAAGCAGCTCCGATGGAGGGCAATCCCATGGCCAGTACAGTGACACAAGGTGTGAATTCTCCATGGTCAGGACAGATAAACTTCCACTGTTTGATGCTCCCATTTCCAAACCTGCAAAATGAGGCTGGCTTTAGAGTGGCACACTTGCCCATTGGCTGAGTTTGTTAAAGGAAACTGGGCCTGCCCAGTTGATCCAGCATTTGGAAATGCCTGCGCAGCTCAGATACTAATCATGGTCACAGAAAGCACAAGCTATTTCAACAGCTTGACATCAGCCAACCCCTGCTTCATTCAGGTGCTCTTTTTACAGCATCGAAGTATCATGCAGCCAGTATTACAGCCCTGCTTTCAGGTGTAGATCCATGAATGTGCTGCACAAACTGCTGAACAGCAATGGTACACCTCTCGTTTGAACATCGCATGCCCAGGGCCAGCCAAACATACACAGAAAAGCTGCCTGCTGGTAGTCCACAACAAACCTGGCAGTACAACAATGGCTGACAGTGCCAGTCCAGCATAGGCCATCTCCTGGTTCTCTCTTGCCCACTTGAATCCATCTGCTTCGACACCACAAACCTGTTAGTCAATTTTCCACAACTTGGAGAAAGCACACGGACAGCCCACCTTGGGCTACCCTTTGCACAAAGCGGCATCTGAGGTGCCAAAAAAAAAACACTGTTTTCCTCCCCAACTCCAGAGTGACCAGTAGGACAACCTGACTTGTCAAAATCCAGGAAAACAATTCACGATGCCACATTCCTTTCTGGAGCCCAACTGCAAGTATCAGATTGTGAAAGCACAGTCTGAACTGTGTGAAGACAACAGAATTTCCAACATCTGCAAACATGTGGGGAATAAATGTTCCATGGATCCCCGTGCCACTGTCAAGCAACAGTGCTATTGCAAGTCAAGCCACTACTTGACACTGTCTGCATGGCACAATGCAAGTGGTCCATGCAGCCAGTCGGTGGCTCATCGCGTTGTTATTAACATGCGATACAGTTTTGTGGCCACCGCTGCCCTTTCCCTGCCTTACCTATCGCATATGACACAAGAAGGTCCTCAGTCATCGACATGTGCGCACGGCCAGTCTCCACAAACACCTGTTCTTAAAAGAAAGGGATATAGAAGGCAGTTTATCAATCTAGGGACCCACAGGCAGTAAATACCAAACATTTGAGAACTCCATGAGGGAAGAGCCACAAAGATCCGGAGGGACACTATACTTTGGAGCTCTGTAAGATGCGACCGTGGGGCGGGGATGTGGGATGCAGATCGCACCCAAGGTGGAGCGCTATGAACCTCTGTCAGATCGGCAGCGAACATCCTTTCCAACCAACAAGTGCTTAACAGATCTTCGTCCGCAACGAGACGGCCAGTTGGCGGCAGTGTCGCCAACAGCGCAAATTTCGGCAACACCAGTGTGCCCCCGGACTGCCCTGGGCACGAATGCCAGAGACGGCGCAGATGCTGTCCCGCCGCATTGGTGCCTTATATTCATGGCACTTTGCGGCAGCACCCGCCGCGTTTCCTCGTGGCTGAGCCCCCCGGTTAGTCGCACCTGTGCGGTATCAACGGCCGACTGGGCGCTCTCAGCAGCGACGCTTCCCGCCACCCTCAGCGCCTTGGCCGCGGTCGCGATCCAGTCATCGTCGGTCACCGCGCCTCCATCGATCTTGGGGCCCCCCTCGGGTGCCATCGAACCGGAGGGCGGATACCAGGAAGAACTGCCGAACGCTCTCCAACTGGCAAGACCACTTTGGAACAACGTCCAGTCGGCGTTGGCCAGTCCATTGATGACGGGTGTCTCCTGGCCAATGCACTCTTTTGTCACAGCTTCACCCTTTGTATCCGAATGAAAGCCGACAGTAAATGTGTCACAATTGGGGCATTGCTTGGTTTTTCCTGATGTCTGTTGCAATACACCCAAAGCCCATTGTCTCATGGCGCTCCTGGCATCCCCAATCCAAAAACACCCACAACGGCCAAGTGAGCCTTGGTATCACATTCTGTGTGCAGCCCAACACTCATCCAAAGCTGCTGAGTGGTCGGGGCTGTTGCGCCGGAGTTCGGCCATGGAAAGCGAGAGCGAACGGATCGAGAAACCGCCAGAGAAGCTCTTGAAGTCTGCAATGGGCGACAAGGCAGCGGCGGTGAAGGGAGGAGGTCCAGCTGACAGCATCCATCCCACAGCAGCTGATCCGCCGATCGAGGGAAACACATATGCGCTGCTTGTGGCTTTCGTGGGAGAAGGCTACAGGGTACTCACGCGTAGCTCTGGCGCCTTCCTCCTGAGTTCCAATTTCTGCGACGGTCAGAGGCTTAGTGTGTTGCCTACTGCAGGGCTGGCAGTACAATCCTAAACTGGGTTCCAATACTCTTGAGGGTGCACTAAGGGAGGCAGTTGGCAAAGCATGGGGTACATCAGAAGAAACGCACAAGCGGGTCTCAAAGGTACGATGTCAACTGACATACAGCGCATCTACAACACACCCACTCTTATGTTCTTTGGGAACATTTTGATCGATTGCTGGGGGTGACTGGCAGTCCTGCAACTACGTGCTTTTGTGTTCTCTGCATGGCCGATTTGGTTTGCTTCTGCCATCGGGGTATTCCTGAATCACCTTGGGTTTTAAGCCTGTAAGTGTCTCGCTTACACTGCAAGGAGAGTGGCACCATTGAAATATCTTGTTTGTTGTTTGCAAGTTAATTCTCTGACCAGCCAATTGGCCAAGATAATCCATTTTCTGAGAATATAACATTTTCAAAGTCTGTGCACTGATATGCACTTGCCTTCTTTGTGACAAACAGTTAAATTGCGCTCTTATGCATCCATGGATGGGACTTGCACAGGCCAAATGGTCGAGGGCTGCCAGGACTGACAAGGGTGTCAGTGCAACTGGGCAAGTGGTGTCGCTGCGAATGCTGGGGAAACCAGGAGGGACTGTTAAAGACCTAAATGGTCACCTGCCAGATCATATCCGTGTATGGGTGTGCATACATGCTGCAAGGCACTTTAATGCCCACCGTTTGTGCGACCTAAGAAAATACGAATACGTCTTTCCAACATGGATTTTGGACCAATGGAGGTGTCGCGAGAGAGCATTCTACGCGCAAAATGGAACAACCAGCAAGGATTCAGTAAGACAGCCATCGAAGCATCCAAGTGAAATGCTCTTCTGTGTGGCCTCCTGATATCCGCTGCCTTGTTGCTCCTTGGCATTCTTTTGTGAGCACAATGTCTTGCAAAGTCAGAGACAAAATCTTGTGTTGAATGTGCTGAATTGTGCTGCATGTGTTGATCATGTGTTCTTCATCATTAATTTGCTGAAGAAAAGTAGTTGCCCAGGTTGTCTACATTCAATAAAATGTGTCAGTCACATAGCAAAGAAATTACCCCAATGTTTGCCCCATATGTTGTTGTTGTTCACTGATGACCTGGGAATTGCAGTACCATAAAATGTAGTATCTATGTCCCACGCCCCTGATCCATCTGTAAATCCGGTGCAACTTCACATCCAATTTGTGCCTGTACATGTGTTGTTCTGTACACATGTGTGTGTCAAGGCGTATTTTCAAACTCTGAGAAACAGTTCAGATGATGTATCACCTGCTCCTAAACAAAAGCATGCAGCAGGCCCTGTTCCTCTTTGCAATGCGATAGTTGCCACCGTCAACAAGAATAGAGTCAATATCATAATAAATGCACCAGAGCAACAAAATTCACTCCAGATGTGTAGACAAGAACCAATTGTCAGTGTTTGTTCGTTGCAATAGTGGAGGAATGCATGTCAAGAAGGACAGAGCTGTCTTACACAGACAATGCACTGCCAAAGGAGAAGAAGACAATGTTGGCACAGAATACTATGCTGGTATCAAAGAACGCAGAGAAATGTGAGCAAGAGGACAAATGGACAGTTGCCCCAAAGCCCATATATATGTCAGTCCAGTATGTCTCCCAGGAAGTCATCCAGATAGCCAGAGCTCCATTCCCCAACAGGCAATGGCCAGCTAGCCTTGCCGCTGTTCAGCTGTAGTGCCCCAGATAGGCCCCCATCGATCTGCTGCAAGGTGCAGTGTAGTGTAGTACTCCCATGAATAGAGACTAATCTCCCCAAACTCGACTGAACTGCTCGTGGGCGATGACTGATCTTCTCTTTGTGCCTGTGTGCATGTGTTTGGCAGCATCCAGAATATATCTTTGACAGCGATTTACTCGATCGTTTGAATTCACTTTTGGGCCAATATGAGGGAAGTCACAGCTTTCACAACTTCACTGTGAGGGTAAGCATGTGAGCAACATACATGCCTGCACCACTGTTTTGCAATGCACTAGATTTGCGTCTGTAACCTGCTCAGTATCGAGGGTAGTCTGAACTGTCATTAGATCCTAAGTTGTTGTGATTGAGCTGCCACTGGCCTATTATTTTATGTGCATTACCTCAGGCACAGGACTGAAAGCTGGGCAAAGCAGGCCCAAAAAACCAGATTGTTATCTCGCCGCAAATGAACCATATGTGGCTGTTCACAACGCCGGTGACGGGGTTTCAAGATATAAATCTCATCACAACCCAGGAAACAAAAGTGCAGCAGCGAAGAGCACTGTGTGATATGTACTCTGACAATCATGTGCTGACACGCTTTAAGTACACCAAAGTGCCGTTGGAGAGTCATGCTTTGTGCTGCACTAGGGGTTGTTGTAAACGATGCTTTGGCATTTTTTCCGTGGTATTTTTGATGGCTGTCCCAATGTGAACTGATCGCTTCTTTGAATCACTGCTTCTGCTGTGCCACTGCCAAATGCTGCAGTGTATGTTGGTATTCCAGAGCGCCGGTGTTGCAAAAAGGTTGACGCATTGATTGTGCCCAGGCAGAAGCTGAGGGAACCACTGTCACAAGGGACATATTACATTGCGGCACTTGCGGTGTGATTGATATGCAAGGAGAGCAGTTTGTAAGGGTTTCCATTGTTGGCAGGAGTTTCATGCTGCATCAGATAAGGAAGATGGTACGTTCATGACATAGGTTAGTTAAATTCCATGTCCGGTTGATGACTATTCTCACACTTGGGGTGGGCAACTTCCACTTCCTGATCGAATGTCTCAAGTTGAGCGCTTGCCTTGCAGTGAACTGGAGTAAACTCACGTTACATGTTGCGCTTGGCCTGGATATGTGAATTTCAGCGATTCCCATGGCCGGATTTGGATATTTTCAGAGGGTATGAACCAGGTTCTGTGCAACGAAAGATCAATGCGACCTGCACGAACCAGGGATGCTCGCACGTGCTTGTCATCCATCCTCTTGCACTGTCGTGCCGAGGCTTTCTCTCAGCTGTACATTTCAGTTTCGCTGCAACTAATGAACAGCTTATTGCTGTGGTTGTTAGGTGGGTCTTGTCATTGCAATGGCAAGATATATCGCTCCTGAGTTCTGCTTGAAAGCGGCGCTGGCACCGCAGAATGTCATGGCAGTTCCTGTGGCTCCAGAAGTTGGTCTCATGCTGGTGAGTTATCATTTCGTGGCAAGTTCCACACTGTAACTGGGGTCTGCCCTTGCTGGCAGCATGCCTATGCACCGTGCCATTATTCTTCCAACCAAAAGTCTGCAGAGAAATGCAGAATCACTTCATATTGCCACCAGCACACTGCATATCGAATTCCATTTCATGCACCGTTTGGTCCATTTGGGGACATGGACCACCGCTACTGCTTCAAAATTTAAAAGCGAATGACACAAAGTGGTCCCACAAACCTGTCCACCACGTGGTTGGCCGTGTCTACAGTGTCGATATCCCATCAGGATACTGTGTGGCGTTCATTGTAGACGAACTAGTCACGCACGTCGGGTATGTGTTGGTGTTGGTTGATGATGCTGAATCCTTTTGGGTCGCTGTCACCAGGTTGAATGCGTGTACGATGAATACAACAAGCAAAACAACCACGCATGCATTTCACTACAGCAGTTTCAAGATGAAGCGTTAGTTTTCAAGGACAAGCTCATCTACCCATCGATTGCTCGACGAACGAGAGATTTGAAAGTATTTGAGAACTGGCTTCCCACAGTGAATGATAACGCTTTCAAGTTTTCTACCTGGAATCGTAGCGGGGGTGCACTGCCAAATGGGAGCAGCCGTGCATAGAAAATTGGCTGCAAGACATGCTAAACGCATGGAGCAAATGTTGCGCATGGAATTTTGGACGTAACCAAGCCTACAGAATGGCAACCTCACCTCCAGCCCCCACTGATCCATGTGGCCTTCGGGCAGGTCATTGTAGAACTTGTTTCTTCATAGTTCATGGGATCTAATCCACTGCAGTGTGTTCCAACAAGAAGCTGTGGTGGTTTAGCTGTTGCTGTTGGAGGCTGCTTGTAAGACACCGTTGTTGTGTTTGCATGCTGTAGCCGTTGGTTATACTTGTGGGGGAAGTGCTGGACACAGGTGGAGTGTGCACTGGGGCGACCATTGTGCAAGTATAGTCACCAGCCATTCCAAAGGCCGCCAGCTGTGTGGCTACCTGTATGTGGATTTGTGCCCATGCATGTGTGTACAGGGCAGAAAACTGTTTGCCCTCTGGCCAATGCCCATTCTAAGACTGCTGACACAACTGTCTCATTGATGCAATGGGGGATTCAAGAGTGACGAATGCCCCTTACAGGACATGGACTTGGCAGAGGCTCTCTATCGTCCCTGGCCTTCGTTCGTGGGGGCGTACACACCTGACCCGAAAGCGGAAAGGCACTCGTGATTGGGGCATACTCGAACAACTGGGAGTCCAGCACTGGCAATATGCCAGTGCTGGTGAACCATGGTGGCGATGCTTCTTGTTTTAGTGCAGCCCACCGAAGGCCACATAGTATCATGGTCGGGAGAGCGCCACAGAGCTCAGCTCCTGAACCCCATGGTAATGTCCAGCACATTGCTGTTATATTTCGCAAAGAAAGGTTGCACCACAAACAGTGCACCGGACCAGCACAGCGGATGCTGGCCAGTTGTGCACAGGCTTTTGCGATGTCTTGGATCGAACATCTGCAGCTGGCAGCTTTTTTCAAACCCAAGCCTTGTGGGCATTGCCCGCATTCCATCAAATCCATGTCCACCACTAACAACACACCCATGGAAAAGCAACAGCCTCTTGATTTCAATGTGCCTCATCTGTGCGCGCATACATCATGTCAAACACCATTTCTCCATAACACAGTGCGTGCGCATGGATAAGGCGGATCCCCTGCCCCCCAACCCGACTCCCACAACGAAGCCCTCTTTGCCGATGATGTTCCTGATCTTTGTCGCAGCACAGGGGGTGCTTTCTTTATCTGTGCGTTGTCAGGAGATTTGACTAATCAACATGGTCCTATGCCAACCGTCAATCCCGTCTATGAGGCAGTGTGCCTACTTTTATTCGCTGGTGCACCATAATGGTGATGCAACAATTCCTCCGCGACGTTTGAAAGGGTCGCCACCATTTGCTTGCCAGCCTGAAGTGGGTCTGCAGCACAACGGCACTAATGTTGTCAAATTTATCGTAATTCGACAGCATGACGCGCAACCGCATACAGGCAGTAGACCGTCCAATGGGCGCATGAGCTAGAACTTGCTTCATTCCTGCGGACCGCTTCCACATGGTGGGGTGCAGTGATTTGGAATTGTGCTATTTGCCATGCGGGCCCCAAATCCTCCGTGTGTTTTGGCCAAGCGGCCGAGGTCATTTGTCCTGCCCATGGACGGCGTTCGGTCGCTTAGTGTTGTAAGGGCAGAGGGGGGGGGACAAACTTCGACGCTGCGTTCGTCAGAAGAGGTAATCGCGGCGCTGGCGGCCGTTGCATGACGAACGGCTCTGGGTGCACGCCGTGTCTGATTCAGACAATACGCCGACCATGCAATCAGCATGAATCTGCTCGCTCATGGGGATAAGCGCAGTCGGCTACCGCAAAACCAGGACTTCATGGCACACAGCGGTGAAGGCCGTGGGTAAGGATAGGACGGGGGGCTCACAGTGCTTTCGGAATAGGTCTACGCGTTCACCTGGGCAAGTGCAGTAGCTGCTGCCATACCCTGTGTTCATGCCGCCTGGCGGTCACGGCCGCAGGTGAGGACGGGCGAGAAGTGACAGTACTTCCGCAGTACGTCCAAGGACAGATGGACGGAATGGGCCATTCAGGCTGGCGTCCCACAGGGCTGAGCGACTCAAGAGGGAAGAACTCACACGGCTCCGTCGCTCCTCGAAGTTCACATTAGTAGCGGTGTTGCTCTGCCGGGGTTCACCGATTCGGCCCCCGGGCTCAGAAGCAGGGAGTGGGCGTCCCCGTGCCGGACGGGACGCTTCCTGTGGAAGCAGTCTGAGGAGCTTTGCCCATCGGCAGTCTCTTGGAGACCGAATAGCCGTGAGTGGATGACTGTGGGCGAGCGCGCGGCCATTTCCATTGGACTTCAGCCTTGCGATTCTATTCAGAAAGCTCGTGCAACCGCGATGCCTCCGCTGATGTAGGACCTCGACGATTCGGAGGGTCCCCCGCGCCGCTGTTCATCGGCGTTTGGCCATGCGACGCGGTCCTCCCGTTCGTCGGAATCGCGCTTGGCCGTCCGGGACGTTTACGAGCATGTTGGGGTCCGAGCGCATCCTCGAGTTTTCGAAGTTTTGATTGGAGATCAAATGCCACTTTGGCGTGGCGCACTCTCGCTGCGGCGCGTATTCACCTCGCAAGGCGCGCGAGCCGAGCACTTGTTCCACAGGCTCGAGAGCGTCCTCGCGCTGGCCACCTTCGTACACATTCCCGTCAGCGCCCACGCTCGGGCACACAGCGCATTCGCATTCCCGTACCGCGAAACAATTCCCTTTAGATACCGAACTTTGTCCCGGCAACATCGGTGGTCCCTTGCAGTTGGCTCTCGCGTTCTCCAATTTTAGGGTTGGCGGTAGGCCGCTACCCCGCGGCCCGCAGTCTTCGGACCAGTCGCCGGGCCTCGCAGTATTGCTCCAAGGAGAGAGGGAGGGTCCCAAGAGGGTCCAACTCAAAGGGGCGTCCCAAGAAGTGCGCATATGACTAAGTCGTGCGCCCGCTTGTTTTCGCTGCGACAGGCCCCCCAGCGCGAGTGGGTGCAGGGGGATGGACGATGCCGCAGGGCCGTTTCTGCGCCACCAGAGCTATGACCCCGTGACGGAGCTGTACTCGGTGTCCTGCTTGGTAGTCAGCGACAGCACCATTCACAAGGCTCGCCCCACCCTGGATTACACCTTCCAAGGGAAGACCACCACCGTTAAAGGGGACCTCCTAGAAACTGTAGACTCCTGGCAGTTCTGGCGTTTCGACATCTCCGTCACATGTCGCGATGCCGAGGCATTGGTGGAGTACAAGCTCTCCTTCAAGAGATGGCCAATCGGTTTTTGGCGTGGCCCCACGCAGACGTGGAGTTTCTGTGTCCCTGGGAAGGACCAAGACTGGCACTGGGGTTTCTACTCATGCAACGGCTTTCACTGGGAGGACAGGCCCGAATACGAGGAGTATGGAGGGATCGCTCCCCTCTGGTCGGACGTGCTGAAACGCCACAGTGACAGGCCCTTGCATGTCATGGTTGGCGGCGGGGACCAGCTGTACAATGACTTGGTGTGGGATGAGGAAGTGAACAAAGCCTGGCTCGAAAGGGGCTGGGATGAAAAATGCTCGGCCCCCATCACAGAGGAACAGGAATTGGCGACGTGCCAGTACTACTTCAACCACTACAAGAGGCACTGGAGCTCGGAGTATTTCAGGGATGCGCTGGCATCGATACCACAGGTAGCCTGCCGGTACTTGTTTCAAGCACTGTGGGGTGGTGCATCACAATTGAGGTCCATGCGTGCAGACAATGCAGGCACAGCTACTTGGTATTCGGTTGCCACCATTGTACCAGCAGATAAAATGTTTCGCATTCACAGTGCTGCAAGGAAATGCAGGACGTTTGGGACAATCGGTATAGAATACCAGCTGTTGGATGGTGGATTTGTGAGTTTGTTTGATTCAAACCAGCTGCAGAGACCTGGCTGGAAGGCAAGAGCTGACTTCTGCAGTGTGAATGATAGAATGTGACCCAATATGGGGGCCCATGGTGGCAAGAGGTGGGCACTGAAATGGATTGTTGGTAACTGTTATGAGTGCTTTGTTGCTACATCTGGATAGACCGTCTTGTGCTTGCAGCAGTGGCAGTTGTCACTTTCGTTGATTGCCTTCAAAGAGGGGTTTCTACCTGGCGAGATTGGAGGCAGCCCTATATGGGACGGGAAATGTCTGTTCTGCCCTACCCATCAGCATCATAAAGTAACAAACAATCTGGGCATGCTGGCAAATCGCCCTTCAAAGCTATGCACAGGAGTATTCCCTTGGGTGCGTCATGGGGGGCAACCATTGCAGCCACAACTTTTCCAAGTCATACCAGATGTTGAGGCATCATTTTTTTGCCCAATTCTTGGCCGCTGGTGTTGGTGGCTCTGCTCAAAAGATGTGTGCTTTGCCTTTGTTGTTCCAGCTTTGAAAAATGCACAGGACTCCGAGTGGCATTGACATTTCATTGGATTTGCTGGGTGGCAGCAGAGACTGAGGAGTGTCGTTGTGCTGAATAGATGATGATGTGGGATGACCATGACATCTTTGATGGCTGGGGATCTTACCCTGACAAGCTCCAGAACAGCCCTGTGTTCCAAGGCGTCTACAGTGCTGCTCGCCGTTTCTACCTGCTGTTCCAGCACCACACGACAGTGGAAAGGGCAAGGGAGCAGAATGGCCTGTTTGGCAAAGATGGTTACTGCTTTATGAACTACTTGGGCAAAAAGGTCGCCCTTGTGGGGCTCGATCTGCGGTCGGAAAGAACAAAAAGGGTTGTGATGGAGCCTGAGACTTGGGCGATGGTGAAACAGCGCATGGAGGGCATTCAGGATAGTGTGCAGCATGTGGTTGTCCTGTCAACAGTGCCAGTCCTGTATCCTGTCGTTCCTCTCTCTGAAGGAACATTGACAAGGATATCTGGCATGGCCAAGAGTGAGGTGCGTGAAATGTAATATGCAGGTGTGGTTTCCATTGGTGATCCCCTGTGATATTGGGGGATGCTTTTGGGCATGATGTGTGTGCCATGTGTATCTGCTAATTTAGTATTATCAATGCAGATTGGGTTTGCTACAGAGCCCAACATTACAAATGAGGTTTTGCTTGGGGCCTTGGGCCAAATTATTGAGTGTTCATCCGACGACCATGCAGACAAGATGATGTGCTTGAAACCTGGAACGCCTTCCACATCCATACCCCCCAGCCAGAGTTTTGCACATCCAGTTCTTCCAGTTTCGCTCTAGCTCATTGTCATTCTGTCGATTCCTTGTACCTATGCATCGCGCACAGTGTATGGCCTTTAATTTGGGAGCCGCTTGGCCTTGAGTGTACACGAGCAACCTGGTAACCTTTGTTGTGCATGTGGAGTAGGTGTTAACCAAAATGATGCAAATGACCGGCCTCTTCGCAAAAGTGATGAATGAATTCGATACCCCGGATCTTTTGGACGACTTGCTGGACCATTGGACGGCCGACACACACAAACTGGAAAGGAAGCAGTTTGTGGCAACCCTGCAGGTAGTGTCCAGTGTTGGACCCGTCTTGTCAGTATTCCGACGCTGCCATGGAGCACCTGCTTTCGTTCCTGGATGCGCCAGTGGACTTGGCTTTGAAGGCCGCAGCGGTTGCTGTGGCTTGGTTAGGAACTCACAAATGTGACACCCTCTGAGGAGCGTAGGCGCGATCTGTTCAAGTTGAAAGAAGTAACGGTGCAGCGCGCCTGATGTGGCGTATGCGTCGCCATGCATGCACGTGTATCTGCTCTGGGAGTCTGTCCGGTCTAGCACCCTGCAATCCAGAGTTTGGTGTTGCAGTGTGGCTCGTGTCATTTGCCCCTGTGTATGGTTGGTCAGTAGGGCTTGAGAATACCAGCAGCCTGTCAGCATTCCGATTGCCGCGTCTTGAGGGCGTTCGTGGCTCAACGCGACCAGGCGCGTGCAGTGTAGGGAATGCTGACGGCTGGATTGTTGCAGACACTGAGCTACTCCAAGAAACTTCGGGTGACTTTCCTTTGCGGTGATGTCCACTGCTGCGGAATCGGGCGCTTCTACTCGTACCCGAAGCTCAGGAGCTTCGTGAGAGACCATCGATACATGCCCCAAGTCATCTCCTCGGCCATTGGAAATCACCCGCCACCAAACGCGCTCATGACCCTTCTGGGTTTCTCATCACGCTCCAAAATGGTGAACCACCACACGCGGACGAAGATGGTGAAGAAATTCCCAGGGAAGAAAAAGCTCTGGCCCCACAGGAATTGGGCTGAGGTGTTTCTGCGGTGTGAGAAGGAGGATGTCGAGGATGAGAAGAAAAAGGGACTGGTGTTCCAGCTTCGGTGCGAGCACCCCGACACAAAGGGCAAGGTTGAAGGGGCCAAAGATCCCATGACGTTTGAGGAATTCGTGCCCAGATATGATCCCACAAAGCGTAAGTGTCGTGTCCTGTCCGTCAACACCGCGGTAATGCCATCATGTGCGGTGGGCTTACGCCTTGTTCCTGCAAGTGATTGCAGCTTTCCAACCTGTGTAATGTGTTTCTGAAGCCACGACAGCAAGCCCAGGTCTGGGCAGCTAAGAGCTGTGGATAAGTCGAGTCGGCCGTGCGCTAACCACGATGTGCGGTGCTTTGTGTGCACGCAGGGAAGCTTGTGGACAAGGCCAAGGGCCGATTTCCTTGGCTGAAGGGGATATTCTCCTCTCGAACCCCAAGCGATGAACCATCCCTACCCCACACGGACACTATGAACATGGCTATGTGATCCGACGCAGTTTAGCTGCTGAGAGCACCTGCTGCAATGTGCACACCAAGCAGTCGAAATTGCGCATGGTGACTGTTGTGCTGGGCTAGTCTCCGCTGGGATGAACATGCATAGGAGGCGGGAGTTGTGGATTTTTCTGAAGTACACAAGAGCCAAGCTTTAGTCTCTGTTGTAGATAGTACTCAATCACCACTCGTGTATATTACATGCTGTGCATTTTCAATCCCGTAGTCGTGATGCTGTGGGACCCCGGTGGTCCAGGCGGTACAAGGGTAGGAGAGTTGTGCACTTGAATACATCAGGTTGGTTCCAGAGGTGCAAAAAGACCATTGCTGGTCCAATGCTCCGCATAGCGAGTGCCGAAGAATAGACAAGTTGTGTTATTGTGAACGCAATGTGCCACGTGAGAAGGACTTCATTCACGGCCCAATGATGGCTTTGATAATTGTGGGAGGGAGGGGTGGAGAAGAGCTGTGTGGTATATGGCGTGTGCAGCAAGGGTACTATCAGTGCGTTTAGTGCGCATTGCACTGCCACTCGTTTCTTTGCCCCAAATTGTAGCATAGTGATCCTGCAGCAACGCCGGCTGCACCTGGGAGGCAGACATGATGCAGCCGTTGATCCGTGAAACCGCTACCTCTCACATTTTGATGCTCTTTTGTTTCGCTTCTGCTTGTTGAGGGATGGTGAATGCTATTGTGATGCCTCATATTGGCAGCAGTGTCGTCGCTGCAGCACCCCAAGGATGATAAGCTCGCTCGCATCCAGCCGGCCAGTGCACTGACAACTCTGACTGCACTTGATGCCGTCGACGATGACCCACTGCAATGTCAGCCTTACTGCTCGACACAGCCGAGGTAGCACTTCTCAAACCCAGTAAAGTCTAACCGGCAAGTGTGTTTCAGTCATACAGCTGAGCAAGGGAATGCCGCAGTGAATCCGACATAGAGCAGGATCTTGCCAAATCCAGCAGGTGCTATTGCTCAACGAAAGCAGTTTTCCTGAAAATTCAGAAGCTATCCCGTACTTGAAAGACGATGCAGGGAACCAGCGACGGGGTGGAAAGTAGCGGGGCAATTCGCTGTGCTCTCGTGTGCGCCCCACAAGTGCACCCGATGGTCAAACCGATAATGTACAGACAATGGTCTGGCGCAAATGTAAGCAACACAATCCATACTGCCAAGTTCACCAAGCGTTCAACAGCATCGCTGCAGACAAAAAGGGTACATCTGTTTCAGAACGCGCTCCACAAAACTACATGAAGAGAGCGAAAGGGGAGTTTCAGTACACCTGGGGATGATGACTCATGCGAATAGGCACGGAGCATCAGTCTGACTCAGCTTACGCACAATAGTCTACAATTCAACGTTGGAAATCCTGGTCTGCGTCAGTCGAGTAGGTTGGCTCTCGCTGGCCTTGTGCACCGTCTTGCGTTCCAGAAATCTGGAGAACATTAGCAAGGCCTGGACGGGCTTGTACTGTGGCACCATGTGTCCAGCCCCCTTGACTGTCGCAAACACCAGGTTGCCAAACTCCACGGTGTAGCCTGCAACCTGGACACGTTGCCAGAGGCCTCAGTCAGCTTTTCCAAGCTCCAACTTGTACATGTGCAAAGGGGCTGACACAGCAAAGTTGCGTTCGAATGTTCAAGATACATGGCCGTCACCAAGCTGTCGCTTGCCCGCTTCTGTTTATGCTGTGGAGCCCTTCGATGTGTGTGAATCTTCCTTGGCCTCTGAGACACAACCGGAGTGTAAATACAAGCGACAATCACTGTTGTCGGGCGTGCAACCTTGACCAACTGGCGGAGACAATCTACTGCCAACACTCGTCAGAGTGCCCTTAACGTTTTCGTTATGACCACGTCAGCCCATGCAAAGTCATGAACATGCGTCGTCTGCAGCTGCCACGGTCCCAACACATAGCCAACCTGTTCGTCGTCGTCCATCCAGGCGTCCCACTCCCTTGTGGCGGGGAATCCCATTCCATAAACCCACGCCTCCGATCCTGTGTGCGGAACGGACATGTCATGGTCGCCGCTGTAAATCAGAGCATGAAGGCCTGCAGTTGCACAATCGCAACACAGGAAAGTCAAGATTTGGAAACACAGTCGGCCACTGAATCGCGTCCGTGGAGGTCTGCCACCGCGCTTAAGGGCAGCGGCTGTGTCCAGCTGGAAAAGCAACAGCACCGGACCTGGGTGTCAACAACAGTGCACACTCTCCTTCTGTGCCATTTGCAATGCAATCTGCGGCAGCCCAGGCGCAGGCTTGGTTCTGGCGCTTAGTTACACAGGCTGTTTACCTACAACCGTTCCAATTTCCATGGGATTCATAAATTGAGCCTACTTGCGAAGCGCTCGCCAAGGCCAATACCACAGCAGCCAGGCACAGGAGCACGTCATCTACATACGAAGCATATTGCTTGAATTGGTGCACGACCAGGCCATGGTGCTGCCCACCCATCACGCACACCAATGTAATGTGCCCGCCGAGTGGCACCGCCACCAGCAGAAAGACAGCAACAAAAGGCATTAGTCACCTGGCAAGGAAGCCAAGGACCCAGGCCACCACTCACCACAGGCATACAGATATTGCAGATGAGTGAAAATTTGCCTTAGCAACTGTAGCTTGTATTAGCATGGTCTCACCCTTCTCCTCGATGAGGTCTCTGTGGATTGGGATCATAGAAGGCACATCATGAGTGTAATTTATTCTATCCGTGCAAATGTAGAAAGAGCCGGTAGTTGAGACACTTGGAGCATGAAGTGCCTCTCGCACTGTTTCATTGTTGAACCATGATTCGGCCGTCCTGCAATGATGAAAACTACTATCAGGGACGCTGCCTTATGCAAGAGAATTCAGCAGAGTTCAAGGGAATCTAAGATATGCCCATTGCAAGAGCATTGTGAGGTTCTCCAGAGAATGGGTATTGCTGTCTCTGAAGGCATGTCTATGCAATAGTGAGCAACTATTTCCTGCACACTCTGCACGCCACAAAACATCCATTGTGCAGTCAATTCTTCAGCAGCAGAGAAATAATGTAACACATGATGTGGCTTTAGTTTCACCAAATAGTCGTGACAGCTACTCACACCATCGCAGATTCGAAGTGGGCACCTGGAAGATTCACAAGGGCACTCTGTATGTCAATCATCTTGATTCCCCTGCCAACCAGATGCGCAATCAAGCACAGAACAAACTCGCGCACGTTGGACATCCAAAGCAATATATTTCCACCACATTCATGCAATGCTGTGATATCGCTGACCCCGACTGCGTGCTAATAAACTCTGGTTCCTCCATGATGGGGAAAAAACAACGCAAAGCATAGTGCGGCTCATAGTGCTCAAGGAACCCTGCCATCCAAAGAAAGAGGAGAAAACTCACCAGTAATCAAGACACGGAGCCTCATAGCCAGCAAACGTCTTCCAGTTGTGGGCTCTCTCGCCAGCAATGACCCCTCCCAATGGCCATCTCAGACCATCCTCAAGCAACTTGAGCACCACATTCTTGAACACAGATCTTGTCTTTGCCTGCCTGTTGTTGTCAGGTGCGTCCCTCAGGCACACATCCAGGATGTCGTAAAAGTTGAGTTCAGAATATAGTGGGTATACAAGGCTCCCCACCATATCTTGGCACACTTGATCTGAATGCACACAAAGGGGTGAGGAAGAATCCACCATGAAAGAAACCATCCGTGGCCAATGCCACTTTGCATTCGTTGGACATGGTCAACATATGCAGCACCAACTCATGCAGCTAGAACAAACAAAGGCTCATGGGCTGGCATCAGGAATGGCAGCTCAGCTCTGATGGTGGTACATTCTCGAATGTCCTTGTTGGCGCAGAGAGGAAGCCTCTCCTCTTGTTATTGCGACAACGGCAGCACATGTGGGCTCATTCAAATGCTGTGTCCATTGCTCACTCAGAAAGCTGCTGTCTGGGCCCTAGCAGCCATGTCAAGGCAAACATCAGTTGTGACAATCAGACCCACGTCACCTCACCATATCTGTGCTTGTAGGGGTTGCCTTGGCAGGCAGTCAGCATGGCTTCGTATGAACGCTGGGACACCAGAGACTGGTCTGCTGCAAAAGCTGGAACGGCGTTGTTATCTACTTCGGGATCTGTGACACCATTTCCAACCAAGTAACCCTGCACCCAGGGCAGCAACAGTTGGCAACAATGATGCCGCAGCCGGCAGGATCGTGTTCAGATGCATTCCACCAACTCAACATGAGTTGCTGTGTTGTGCGAATCACTGCGTTGCTGAAGGAAAATTCAACAAAATTGCGCCAAAGCTCTCCAAAGGGGGTCTTCAAGCATTCTCTGATATGAAAGTGTATGGGACCAAACAAAATCATCAAGCAAAATCATCAAGTCAGGTGCTTTCAGCCATCGATGCGAACACAACTTTCGTTATCAGTCCCTGGCTGGAACACATACTTGCACTGGGCTATGGCAAGCCACTGGCCACTCAGCAGCGTTGAGTGAAAAGCGCACTCTGCAGCAAATTTTGCCGATCCTCACCACAGCATTTCAGTATATATTTTCTTTCAATAGGAGGGAAAACTGTCACAATACAATGAGCAGCAACACGATTCAGTACACGCACCTTCAAGTTGATGTATGGCTTCTCCCCTGCTTCATTGCCCCGCACCACCTCATGGGTTAACATCGGCACATAAATGCCACCAAAGCTTTCACCTGACATACAAAAGTGATTTGAGAGATCTATTTGCATGAGGAGCAGTAGACAAGACAACTGTATAAAATTCACATTCAAATGCATCCCCAGCATCTTCGAAGTCACGTCTCCTTTGAACGGGCATCCAAATGTTTCAAAATACTGTGCCTTGCTTTAAGTTGTTGCCGTGCATTACCTATCCTGGAGTCCCCTTCGAACGATTCGGTGCTGGTGGAGAAGGGGAGGGGAGAAGAAGGATGTGGTGATGGTGGCAGTGGTGGTGGAAGAGGGGTTTGGAGTGGGTGGGAGCGGGTGTGTTGGTGGTTAGAGGAAGGGGAGAAAATGTTGTTCACAGATGCTGGTGGCATGCATGCGTCTCACAATTTGGATCACAAAGCAAGCTTTCTGTCTTGTTGGAGGCCCATCATTGTCCTCCATTCCACCACTTCCACCTCTTGACTTGGGAGTTTGCTGTCGCACCCTTTTGTCACAATTTCCTAGCACACTCCCTTTGTCAAAATGGGCAGGTGCAGAACAAGGACCCAACAAAAGCATGTTGTTGCCGAAAATTGATCTGAACATTCGCCGTTCATCACCTTGACATGCCTGGCATCAGTGGATTTTAACAAAATTACAGAGAAACATCATACCTGATATGAAGAACACGTTGCTCTGGAAGTTAGGGTAGCGCTGAAAGAAAATCCTCAGGAAAACATTTGAGTCATGAGCTGTTCTGTTGTCATCCACATTGTAATCTGCTGCAGTGTCAGAATAGGACATGCCCACACCTGCAAGAAAGCAACCCAGTGCCCTCCTTGTGGGTTCAAGAGAAAAGTCTTGCCAGGTAATTATTGACATCAAAGGAAAGCTGCACCAGAAGCTGCCATTAGCGTGTAATGCACATTGTGTAGGCAACACTTCAATGGCCCCAAAGTTCGTCCCTTGGACATCAAAGCCACGATTCGTCCTGGTTGCTCTGCATGAACTCGAAGACTTCCTATGGCATTCAACAAAAATTGCAGAAATCTCTCACATATCCTATTTGTTGGTGCGAAAAGCTGGTATCTGATGCAAACTACTAGTCATGAATGAACTCCCAGCACTTCCACAAATCGCTCCCACACATGTTGTCACACATCGCCCGCAACTCTGTCACCTGCAAAGCTCTTGCACTCCTATCCTTCCAACTCCTAAAGGACCTATGCAAGGCACCACTGCTGCCTTCTTACACTCCCTTGCATCCAAATCTGCACCAGTTCATGAGCTGCACTCCAAAAACAATTTTCTTCGTTCTTTCACCATGTTCTGGACACACTGATGGCAAGAACCAAAAAAGATCATCTCTGGAAATGCTACTTGTGTGGTTGACGTCAATAAGAAACATCATGTTACCAAGGAGGACTCCATATAAATAATGCCATTGAGCACACTCTGGTGCTCATACCACACTGGGCGATTGATTGGGATCCCGCTTCCCTGGCTTGGCCAGCGACTGGCATCAGTGGTCTGGCAACGGGGCTCTTGACCCCACCTACCAGATGGTGAATCAAGGTAGATGACGTTGGCCACTTTCGTCCATGCAAAAGGGTTGGCACCAGTTATGTGTGTGCGCCCATCGCTGTACTCGAATTGGAATGGCCCATGTTCTGCCACGCCACAGGCACACATTACCAGCAGATTAGTACTGGTATGTCCACAGCCTGAAAGCAAACTCATCAAGCCACCTGTGCAGTGTCGAGGTGCTGATGAACAACCAATCACCACCACACTGAAAAGGTCTCCAGAACACAGAGCAATAGAAAGCCATTTTGCATTCTCTTACAAATCAAGGTGGGAGTTCTTCCTCTTGCTGTGGAAAGGAACCTCTTCCCATCTTTTGGGCTAAAAGGCATCATGTTCTAAAGAGCGTATCCTGGGACTTCGGATCCACCCAGACAGGCCCAGTGATGACGTGCCAACGTTGTGTAGTTGTTCATCTCCAGTGAGTCGTCAGAGAAGCATGCGTTGTTAGGAAAGGATGGGCGGTTGACACTCACCGTACACGAATCCATCCATGGAACTACAACCCGGCCCGCCATTCAGCCACAGCACAACTGGGTCTTCCGTGGGGCTCCTTTCAGACGTGGCAAAATAATAGAAGAGACGCCTGCCGTGGTCTTCATCGACGGTGATATAGCCGGCGTAGTGCCGCGATGGCAAAGGTCTCTTCCAGCCCGGCAGGCCCAATACTTCGGTTTCATCTTCCACTTCAATGGTGGCTTTCGTCCTTCTCAAATCCAGGGAGGGTGCCTCCCAAACGTCCGGCGCGCCACGCAGGAGGAGGATTGGCAATGCTGCAAAAGCCATGAGAACGGCAGGGAGTAGGGAGGCCATCTTGAAAGGCAGCCAGAGAGGCGCCATGGACTCCCTCGCTGTTCGGTTGTGTCGTTTTGGGCCGGCGTCCCCCTTCACACCGGTAGCAGGTCAGTGCGCCCCTCCAAAGCCTGGAGAGTCAGGCGCGTGAGGGAGGGGGTTATGGGGGAAGAGCAACGCGGGTGTGGGTGTCAGGCGTGTATTCACACGTCAGCATGGTCATTGCTGGAGTGACAATGTGTTGAGATGGCCAAACCGGCGTGGCAAAACTGTCCGTAGTTGGAGCCTGGCTCACGTACGGCGAGCACTGCCGTCCACAGCAGCCCCAGAAAAAGGGGAAATGTTTTCGCTTCTGGAGGCAACACTGTCTCGGCTCCCTCCCGAAGAATTTTTTGCATTCAATCCGCCCGCAACCTCTCTTTCAAGGAGGCTGTGGAGCCGGAGGGTAGATGCGGTATTCTTAGGTTCGAACGGATTCATTGGTCATTACCAGTTAGCCTCAAAATCGCCTATCGATTTGGAGCCAGTGACCAGGGCGCAGTCGCCGGTCTGACTGTATGGACACAAAAAGGTTCAGTGGACGGATGGGAACCAGGATGCTCATTTTCGGTGGCGAGTGTCTTCCGGGCGCAAGAGGGCCCTTGGGCACGGAGAGGCGCCGCGCTGCCTGCGCGTGGCTGGCGATGCTGCAGCCCGCCCCTGCTGAAAAGGTACGCCTTGGACCGCGTTGACTCTTGGTTTCGCCCGTCCCTCAACTTGGGAGACGATGAATCTCGCTGAATCGTGCTATGGACAGTTGTTCCCCCCACAGGCTCTGTTGTGCAACTGACGCAATTGGTTGCTATTCCAGTTCACCAATATTCTGGCCTTTGCGCACAGCAATTGTGAACAGAATATTGCCAAAATCCTTGGCATATGTCTTGTATACCAAATTTCGTCGACAGTCCACAGATACACACGGTTGGAAAATCTGTCAGAGTTTCAAGCGCATTCCGAGCCCAAGTTCAACACTCTCCATCAGACGCGAAAATCGGTCCTTCAGTACTTTAGTGGGGACTTCGACCGGCTCATCCGTCGTTCCGCAACCATCGCCTTGGAATGCACCGCGCTCCAGGTTGTTCTCATCCTTTGGGTAGGTTCAACATGAGGAAAGTTTGCCGGGAACCAGCAGAGGATGCGGATTGGCGTCCAATGCCAATGCTGAGGCGGCCACACCGCTGCCTGTTGCCAGCGTTAGGGCACTGCTGCCATGTGGTCGTTTGACAAACACTGACTTCCCTGGCGGCCCAAATGTGCGCACGTGGACGCGCCAACGGCACTTGCCAGAACAGGCTACCCACATCAGGTGAAATTTGCGCCCAACCACGGCCTCCATTAGTGTGACTTACAGTTTGCCCGTCCGACAAAGTGGTCCCACACTTCCGCGCTGTCGCGTACTCACGGCCGCTCTGTGTGACGTCAGACAGGCCGTGCGCCCGGTGACTCATCGACGGCCGCGCCTATGGCGCCCGCGCCAGCGGCAGGCATGCATTATTCGAGGCTCGAGTCGACGGCCAAAGCGAACAGCCGGAACCAGGCCCAGCGTCCTCCCTTCCCTGCGCGCTGTCGACGGCCAACACCGAGCGACAAAGATATTCGTGTCGGTGAGCGTGGGCGGGTCTGCGTTAGAGGCAGCGGGCGCGCCCCGCGCGTCGCACCACCGCCCCCGGCGTTGAGCGCCGCGGAGGCGATTGACTCGGCCGGAGGGCAGCGAGGGGCCAGGCAACGGTTCCAGCGGGGAGGGGCGGGCGCGAACCTCGGAAGTCCTGAAGCGGGAGCACCTGGGCGAGCAGGTACATTGCGCGCGAGCTGCCGGGCGGCGGGGGCGAGCTACGGCCGGCCCCATTGCCCCAGCGCGGGCATCCAGTGCGGTGATAGGCGATTGCGCGGCACCCCGTGGACGGGAAAGCGCAAGGCCCAGTAGCGCGAGCGGCTTTGTGCCGCAGGGGAGCCTTCCGTCGCCCTGATGTGCCGCGTCGCGCCCGCTCTGGGCGCTCCGCTGGCCGTGAGAGCCCAAAGGCTCCTTTCGGCGGGGTCGAGGAAACGTGGGAAAGATGCTCTCGATGGCCTCGCGACGGCCCTGGCGGCCGGCCTGCGCTGGGCTCTACGTGTGGTTGGGCTGGACGGCTTCTTGCCGCGGAGCGGGGCCGCTGGCGTTATGGTGCCTCGTGGGCGGGCGTGTCTGGCGCGACTGGCGCCCGGTTGGCACAATGGGCCAACGGGGCAGGCGCAAGGCCTGCGAGCGAACGGTTTTGATATAGCCCTGGCAGGCGGCCTTCAGCAATGAACCCCTATCGCCCCATTGCCTCTCTGCCCCCTGGACGTCGCCCCCGGCCCATTACGAAGGACGCGCTATGGGGGGCGGGAAAGGGCTGTCGCTGCTTGGTTGTTGAGTTTGGGCGATGGGACGCGCTCCCATCCGTCGTACTTCTGCTGTGTTGTTCTCTTGGCTTCGTTGAGCGGGAGACAACGGGGGTGTGTGACAACGAACGAAACACACATGTTCGTCAGCGATAGGCGTCACACGCCTTGCGCAGGGAGCGTCCAGCAGCACATTCACCGGGTGCCCGTAGCGGATGACGCCTGGCATGGTGTACGGCTCGGGGTGTTGATTTCACGCGGCCTTCATGTGCCCCAGGATGGCGGCCCACCCAAAGAGCGCGGACGCAGAGGCCTGGAACGCGGCTGCCTCTGGCTTCCCGAGCCCAGGCTTGGCCCAAGCGATACAAGACTTGAATGCCGGGGAGCCTGAACTTCTTTCACCAGGTGATGTTGAGCATTCATCGCAAGGCTCCAGGTGAGCCCAATCTGTAACTGGCGACCTGCCTGGTTCAGTGAAATGACCAATCAAGTTGCTGGTGGCAGTTGTGCTCATTTTGACTGGATACGCTGCGTGCTCTTTAGGTGACCTGCAAGGGGACGACCTGCCGGTGTCCATGTTTTCTGGTGTGGATTGTGGGTTCTTTCCCGCTGTGTCACCAGACATGGATTATTGCGCCTTGCAGTATGGCATGCAACCTGCGCAGAAGAATTTTGATGGAAGCGGAGGTAAGCCGGGCACCAAGATACTGCAGCGGCAGCGAATGTGGATGCTCTCCAATTGGACGAACCCCTCCAGCCCATCCGATGTGCAAAACGCATTGCATTGCTGGCGAACTCCTGAGTCACGATTCCCTTTCTTCATCGAGTGACATGGCTGGATTGCGGGGGGCACAGAAAATCGCAGCGATCAATGCTTACCAGTGTGGTGCGCTGTATCAGCTTTGGACCGAAATGGCGATTTTTTCTTGCAATTCTGTCGCAGGCGCTCTCCCCTCCCTGGACATGCTGCTCAGCTCCCCTCCAGCGCACATGCAGTTTCCCTTCAGCGCTGGATCCCCCATCCAGAACATTTTGGACGGCCAGTTCCTGGGCGTGCCTTCGCAAATGGACACATTGGGCAACGCCATCGGGGCGCTCATCCCAGCCAGCCCTCCAAGCCCGACTTTGCTCAACTCGCAACTATCACCGGACGGCGAGATGGAGAACCCTCTGCTCGCTCAGGATCAAGCTCTGATGGGCACGCCGCTGCACATCCCGCCCATCCTCACCCACCGGGTAAAAGGAGAGCATTCTGGGATGCCGGTGTACACCGGCACGCCAATCAAAGTTGGCCATCCATACGGCGTTCATTGGGAGTCTCCCGTCAGCCACGAGAGCGACAAAGGAGCCGTGGTCATGTCCAAAGTTCTGGACACCCCACTATCAAAGATGATGGGCGGCCAGTCGCAGGGAAAGATGCGGCGGCCGTTGAGTTCTGCCCGTGGTGGGTGCGGGAGGAATGATGTAGCTGCTGCCAATCGGCGGCGTTCTTCCCGCTTTCGGGGAGTGACCAAGCATAGGAGGAGCGGGCGGTGGGAGGCCCACATCTGGGTGAAGGACATTGGCCGGCAAGTGTACCTGGGGGGATACGAAGACGAGGAGCATGCAGCTGAGGCTTACGATGTGGCGGCGATCAAATGCAAGGGCCGGCGGGTCAAGACGAACTTTGACATGAGCAAGTAAGGGATTAAGTTTCCCGGCAGGAATCCTATGTCGCACCCCTGTAGCGATATGGGACCATGAATAATCGATTCCGAGCATCCTATCTGCTTGGTTTCCACGCCCATCATCGCCTACCAGGTGCACGGGCTGTGTTTTGTCATTTTGTGACAAATGTAATCCATGGATTTTGATGATGATGACCCCTGTGGCCCAAATCTGGGAAGTGGAGTCAATGTTCGAAAGTGGCTTCGAGGTGGATTCCAATGCCACAATAACTGAAAGCACAGGCGAAGCATAATTTAAATCATGCAATTTTGCTCACCTATTTTGTTCCACGTCTGACGGCTATACCTCCTTGTTAACGATTCCGAATCGCATACTTCTTGCCATGCAGAGTACGACTCAGGGGCTGCATCCTCAGATCCTGGGTCAGCGAAATGCGCTCGCAAGTGTGCATCATCGTAGCATACATGCAGCGGAGGTCAAGAATACCAAATCGCTCAAAGATCTTTTTGTGCGCCGAACAGTTGACAGTCAATTCATATGTAAATGCAGTGTAAATAGCTGCAATTGAGCTCGAAGTAATCATTCCAAAATCATGCCAACCAACCGTCGCATTGTCTCTCCCTATCGCCAATCTCCTATCGCCACTGACTCCATCATCGACCGCTGCCAGGTATTCGGACCTGGTGAACTGCATGGACAGCATTTCTCTGGAGGAGCTCATCATGGCCGTTCGTCGCCAAAGCCAAGGGTTTTCAAGAGGTACCTCGTCCTATCGCGGGGTCACCCACCATCCAAGTGGGAGGTGGGAATCGAGGATCGGCATCCCCGGCAGCAAGCACATATACTTGGGTTTGTACGATGACGAGAAGGAGGCCGCCAGGCAGTACGACAGAGCCCTGGTAAGATTGAGAGGAACTGCGGCAGCCAGCAACTTTGCCCTCTCGGACTACAGGGAAGAGCTGGCAGAATACCATCAGATGCAGCAGGTGATGTGCTTCGGCAATCAGCACCGGGAGACCGATGCGGCTGTAGCCCGTACAATCACATTCGATTTTGACATCCGCATCTTGCTGAAAGATGGCATTGGGTTGAAGCGTGCGAGGCAATGTGTGTGGTATATGACAAGCGAGAGGGCGCAGTCCTCTTCCAAACTGCGATTGCCACCTGCTCAATATCGGCTTCCAGTTAATCGAGGCCCAACAGTTGATTTGTGCAGTCCCGGCAGAGAATTTCATTGCTCTCTTTCAGATTGTTTTGCCACTGTTCTGTTACTGGAGCAAATGCCATGTTTGCGTTGTGCGCTTGAAGGCTGTACTGATGGGAGACGCTTCTGCGGAGTCTTCAATGCTGTCAGGGCCGGAATTTGAGCACTGGATCAAGTTCGGTGCCAAGGGGCCAGCAGATGTCAAACCCAGAGAGGAGGATGCCGCCACAATGGGAAACCCGGAGGAGCCCATGAGGCAGCCCGAGGGCGTCGGAGAATCTACCTTTGTCGCGACTCAGGACTCTGTTTCGCGAGAGAGTGACATCCAGGCAGCGCATGTGGAATCCGCGGCGATGGCGTGCAAAAGGTCAAGAAATGATTACGAAGGTAACGATTGTCATGGCGATGGAAGGCAGAATGGTGGCGAAAGAATCCTGAAAATGGAAAGGACTGACACCCCATAGAAAATCCGCAAAACTGCGGTGGGGGCGATATTGGGTGGCTTCGGCTGGGCAAATTTTTTGGGACGCCGTGGGGCGTGGGGGGTATGCGCATTTGGTAATTTGCTTCAGCGGGTGTGGTGTTTGATTAGGGGGAGCAGTTTGGTAGAGCGTCTGAGAGGCTGCAAGAAAGCCTTGTTGCAAATCAGATCGAAATTAGATTCCGATATCATTCACATCGGAAACTTGGCTCTGACCAAGTGCTGCAGGCTGGAAACTTTGGGGAAGCCAAAGCAAGCTGGTCGATCGGCGTCAGGAGGAAATGGAAAGACTGAATGTTTTTCCCCTTCAGAGCCAGTGAGTCCGATACCAAACTCTCAAGGTTGTGTTGAGGCAAATTTGTATTGGGAAAAATTGTATGGAAGCAAGATGTTGCGACGGAGACAAACGATCGTGACCAATGCGACCTGTGTGATCCCACAAGAGAACCGACAGAGGAAACCCAATGGGCGACCCAGCAGGCACAATTTCAACTATTTTGTTCACTGGCTTAAGATGTCCAGTATAAAAATATCTCCAATGGGATGCGCTGAAGTGGCAACCCCAGCTCTGCGTCCTGACTGTAATTGCAAAGTGCGAAGTGCACGCACGAGTGATAAGGCATTCATGGCTGTTAAACTACGTCCAAATCGCAATCGAATCTGAAGGTATTCCATGCACGAAATGACCACAGCACCGCATCGCAATGCGACATCAGTCATTGGACAAAGAAGCAACTCACTCCATGTGAATTTCGATCCTGCAGCGAGCTTATTATAATATTAATTAATTGGTTTTCCACAGCCTGCCGAGCAACACGAGCGCATTTGCACTGATGGCAGTTGCGCTGTTTTGGTTGTGATCATAATGCTGCGATTGGCTTTGTCTAAAAAATAAATGTGCGCAAATCAATAGTCCTCATCCAACGATGGGCATGCCGGAGCTGCGCAGCGAACAGTGCTTGCCTGGGCCCGACATTAGGCGTCCTGGCAGATGCCAATTTCTACTGCGCTGCGCATTCGTGTTTTTGTATTAGATCACCAGTGCAACAAGCCCAAGGAGTCAGGGCTTGGCTTTTACGTTTACGTTTACGTTTTTGCGTTTACGTTTTTATGTGTAAAAACGCAAATTTGTGAAAGAGGCTAATTTTATGGCTATTTTTACGTTTTTACGGCTCGTTGGGACAGCCAGGTTATGCGATGAAAGTTGCGTGCAATGACCAGTCCTCCACCATCTCTAGCACCCGCAACACAGTGCCCATCTCGCCTTCGTCAAGGGCAACGAGGGCATGGAACAAAAATTCGTTTTCTACCCAATCCAGCGCGTTTGTCTCCCAAGCTCTTTATGTACTTTCCTTATGTACACGAGGCTCTATTTACGTCGCATTTACGTATTTTTACGTTTAAACGCGTAAAAACTATTTTTACGCGTAAAAACGTAAATGCGTTCGGTTTTGATGGCATGAAAAACAAAGCCAGAAGGCAGTGGGTTCAGTAGGACGTGGTGTGTGTCGCTGAAGCTCAAGGGACAAGCGAATCCGAGTTGGTTGCCTTGAAAATCAGCGACGAGGGCTGTCTCTAGCAGCCCAGAAGACAGCATTATTCCCCGGGATAAAACCAGCATGATATACGCAACAATTGATTGCTCAATTACACAGCCATTACACCAGCACACCCTATTGCAATGCACCAGGTCACGCCCACTCAAAGGCACATCTGAAGCCTCCAGATTGAAGGCGTCCGTTATTCCACCCTTGCCCGCCTCCTTGCACAACACAGTGAGGGCGGGGCCGCTGACTAAGCAACGGGCGCTGTGGCAGTCCCCCAAATTCAAGCCCACCACATAATGGCTTCTCTTGTACAAATGCATGACACGGTCAGGAATCCTCACCCGGCACGCCCGGACCCGCTCTGGCTCGCAAACCCGCTTCCGGACACAAAGGTGCTCCCGCTGGCCGAGACGACGGTTGTCGTGGTGCCGCCGTCCGCGTTCGACGAGGAAGACGCCTCCCGGGACCCGTCCACGTCAAGAAGCACGCTCGTGAACGCCTCCGCGATCGCCTCCACGTAGGCCGTCGCCACCACCGTGCTGTACGCCGCAGCCTCCCCGTACTCCACGCACGCCTGGCTGAACGACGACGCGTACACCTCCGCCGTCTGCACGCTCACGGCGTCGGCAAATGCGTCCGCCGTTGCGGCATCCACGCCGTAGTTCTGGATCCCGATCGCCGCGAAGCTGGAGCTGACGGCCCGCGCGACGGCCGAGGCCACCGCCTGGCCGCTGGCGCCCCCCTGGGCGCATGCGCTGGAGTCCCCACGCGCCATCACCTCCGCCGAAGTCTTCGCCACCACTTGAGCGAATGCCCTGGCAATCGCCATCGCCACCGCCTGCGCCTCGGCCTTGGCGCTGCCGCCCGCCCTGACGTTGGCGATGGCTGTGGACATGGCGGAGGCGATGGCGCTCTCGGAGCCCGGTGTGGCCGCCACGGAGGCGTGCGCCGACGCGGAGGCCTTGCCGTTGACGGTGCTGGCGGTGCTGCTGGCGGAGACGTGCTGCTGATGCAGCCTGCGCGACTCGACGCTGCACGTCATCGAAGCAGCCACAAGCAGCGCCACGAACAAAATGGCGTGCGAGTTCATCATCTTGCGGGAATGGCGGCGTGCCACGGGCAGTGGGTGATTGCTTCCGCCTTTGCCTTTGATCGTGCGCCCGCGGACGGCCTATTGAGGAGGGGCGGGGCGCTGGGGGAGAGGGTGCACTTTGGCTGTGCTGTCCGGGGCTAAATAGGTGGCGCGTCTTCCCACGCGCCTCGCACAGGCGTTCGCAGGGCGTGGGCGAACATCCCACTGGGGTTGCGTACGAGAGGAGAGGACCGCGGGCGGCACGAGGGAGAAATGGCGCGCCAGGGCGACAGCGACAGGGTCTGGGGGCGCAACGGGACGACAGCGACCGGGACGCTCGCCGTCCAATCGCAATCAGTCATCCCGTCGAAGTGGAATGGACCCAGTTAAAGAAGAACGCAACCGGCCTGCTGAAAGTTGGCCGCAATTTCAGTTGGGGGCCCCTGGGTTCATGGCCAACTTCTGCTGGCACCAGAGTAATGTTCTGCTGGCAGCCAACATTGTTGCTGCCGGCTGTACAAGAAGGCCGCGGATTTGCGGCGGGCCGACAAGGCTTAGGGGTTCAACCGCGCAACTGCAAAGCATTAAAGCAGTCCAAAACCTGGATTGGGGATGAATTTGTCCGCATTGAGATGGTCCGTTGCTGAGGGCTGTGCTGTTGCAATGCTGGCTGGTGTACAACAGCGTATATACAAGAGGTTCAACAAATTCATTCAACAATTTTGTGGCTGACTTACAAAAAACTTGCATACCTGTCGCCTCTCGCGTAGGAAATATGCACAGTTATGTGTGCATACATCGCTAGAGGCTCCATGCTTTGGAGCATTCAAATAGAACTATTGACCACATGGTGGACTACCCCAGAGCTTACCTCGGGATTTATGCTGCAAATTCCGATTCCTTCTGCATCTTACTGATAAGGCCGAATGGCAGAGATTCAGGATCATATGCTCTCCATCGAAGAAGAATACGAGACCATGTGTTCAGATCCCCATTGCACCACATGTACACAAAATGCATACATTGATGGTACGCACCATCAAGATGTTTGGTCTCCGCTTGAGGGGACACATCTCTTCCTCAACTCTCAAATTCGGCCACAAAATGCGAGGGGCTGCTTTTGGCAAACAAAGTGATCCCTTTAAGAAACAATGAGCTTGACCGCCGACAGTTCTTTTGATATTCCGCCTGGGCTATCGTTGTGAAACAATGCTTTGGATCTCCTTAAAGCTTTCCCTTCACAACATGGATCCTTTGGCCAACTTTAAGCGCCGCTTCCAGATAAACGGTGCCCAAAATTTCAGTGGTCACTGGCGAGAAACAATGGTGGCGAACGCCCCGCCAATGAATGTCCGGCGCATCGCAAGCCCCCACTCAATCTCTTTAATGAACGTGATGGTCACCTACAGTTGCTTCCATCAACAAGGGGTGGCCGTTGTTGGTGCTTGCAACTCACAGTTGTGCCCAAGGCAACAATTGCACTTTGCAGTCGGTTGGGATGGGGACTTCGTGTGCAATGGCTCACACACCAATTGCCCAACATATTTTCACTGGGAACGGAGCGGAGTGTTCGCCAAAGAAAACAAATGCCCCGCAGCCTCGACAGGGTGCACACTAACGCCTGCGAAACATATGCGGGAATTAGACATCGCAATCTAGCTGATTGTCCGCGTAACGGCTAAACAGCTCGCGCCAATGGGGCGCAACGAAACACTCTTTGCGTTCAGATCTGTTCTAGTATTCTGGGCCTTGGTATCCAATGGTTAACCAAATGTTCTCATCGTATTTGTAATTGTGCTGTGGTGGTCAGATTTCGTGGACGGCAGTTGGGTGTTGAAAGACCAGCGACAGGCCTGTTGGGGTGCATCACATCGATCGCAGAGATTGACCTGGGTGTTGCAAGTATATTTGCTGATGTTGCAACGCCCTTTTGCTTGATTGCATCCCTTTTCATTCGGTTGTTGGTGTGCTGGATGTCTGGGAATTTGTACTTCAGAATGAGAATGTAAAAAGTGAATGATAGTCAAGAAGGAAACAACTTGGACTATTTGCCATTTTTCGTTTCGAATTTATGATCAAGTTCTCCTCAACCAGTCCGCAGGCTTGCAGTTGAGAACCCATATCACAAATGCCTAAAGCTCCCGAGGAAGCCCTCTACGGTTGACCTGTTGTTGATCCAGACGCCACCGCATCGGTGCAGGAATTAATCGCGGCGTCCAATCTCCACCAAGCCGGCACAGCCACGGGCAGCAATGCTCATCACGCAAAAGGCGCCATCCTTCCTTCTTGCCTACTTCTATGCGAGAAGGGTGTCATGCTCAGCAGCGCGCTATGTCTTGACTGCTACCGAATTCAATAATGTCATTCATTCAAATCGTTCGCTCGTTCAGGGTCTTGTGTTGCATCAAATAGTTGGCCAAAAATTGCAGGGGATCGTTGGGCCTCTTCGTGTTGAGCTCCCGGAGGGCTTCTCTCAGAACAGGGACAACGGTGCAGTCCATGTATTGCTCCGTGGGCAGCTTTCTGACGTCACTACCTTGGTGAAGGACCGGTTGTGACTGCGCTGGCGTCTTGGTAGTCTCTTCAGCTTCCAGTGTGGTGGCGCCCTTGTGCGCCACAGTCTCTCCTCCCTCTGTTGCAACCTGCGCGCAAACGCTGGCCTCTTAAACTGCAATGAAAACTCGCGGGACAATGTGCGTGACACGCAGGCGGTGGTGAGTGGGCGACGAGCGGGCGCTCAGGCCATGGTCGTCTGGTGTCCAGTGGAATTTCCTGATGGAAGTCCTGATTAGCTGTGGGCCCAGACTGCCAGCGACGACAGCATGATTGCCTCTCGAGTTCGGCATCAGAACCTAGACCTACGGCCCTTGGCAGCGTGAACACAAGCTCGCTGGGGGGTCCGCTTTTTGGGCTGGGGCATAACCCCCCATTAGGTGATCAGTTGTGTGCTCGTGTGCATCATTGCTACCCTTTTTACCCTTTTGTGAACTCTTGTGTCTGCTAATTCTGCGGTTTGATCACCTGGCTTGGGGTATCTCCCGCGTTTTGTTCCGAGCGCAGATCGGCGACTTTCTTTCTAGCCAAGTGCCCCCTCTGGGCTGCCTGTATCTTCGTGGCCGCTGCTTCGCTCTTCACACGTTCTTCTTTCTTGGCTGCTGCCAGTTTTCTGCCCTGTCGGCCACGGTGGGTGGCCTGGATCTTCGTGGCAGCTGATGTTTCTACCCGTGATTGAAGTTTCAATTCTGCCACTTCCCTACGTGCCTTCCGCCCTCTTTGGATTGATTGGATCTTTGTGGCAGCCTCCTACTGGCCAGTTGCCACAGAAACAGATGTGAAGATCCACTCAAGAAGGTTAGAAACTAGAGTACACAAAATGCTAATGTTCGACTGATAGTCACTGCTGGTTTTCTGTTGCTCATGTACAAGAGAAGGAGCAAAGATGGACAGAAGAGGGTGTTTCTAAGAATTTGAGCAAAGACCTGAGAAGGCGCTGCACTGAGAGCTCTTTGCAAAGCGTGATTTGTTGTAAGGTATTGTGGTTGATGCCAAACTGTCACCTGCTGCTATAGTTGTGCAGGGCTGGGGGAAGAGACCATGTAACAAGAGCAACATCGCAGGAACTTGCCCCTTGTTTCAATGTACTGAACTTCAAGAGTTCGTACCTGTTCTGAGTCGTCATGCCTGAAAGCCACATCTTCGCATCCTTCGTTCTCTGTGGTGTCCATATGCACAGGGCCATCTATGCCACCATTGACATCAACAACAGCATCTCCAGGGCAATCAGCTTCGCCATCTCCTTTAGCATGGCTGTCAGTGTGGGCATCGACTTCTGATGCTCCTGCAGCACCACAACCATTGGCAACAGAATGGACATCGGCAGCTGCGGAACTAAAGCCGGCAAGATCTGCTGTTGCAGTGTCTTCACATGCACTTGCTTTGGCAGGATCAGCAGCAGCAGCCGACTCATTTGGAGGTGCCTCCACAACAGCCTCTACATCTGGCTGGGGTTAGACATTCGCCCCTGCCTTGGCTATAATATACGGATTTCTATTTCATCGTTCATGAGGGGTACCTCTTTGGAAAGGGCAGAAGACTCACCTTTGATATCTGCTGTCTTGCCATTATCCCCAGTCTCAGGATCCAGCTCGGGATCGCTCTCTGGCTTTGCAGGAACACCGGCCTCTGCTCCTGCTGCATCAGCATCTTCCTCAGACCCATTTGTGGGTCCTGCCCCTGCCTCAACACAATTGTCGCCAACATCGGCCTCTGTCACTGGCTTGAGACTCGCAGTTGCCTCTTGGACAACATTGCCATCCACCGCAGCTCCACTGTCATCGGCCTGTACATCTGTCGCGGGACTGGCAGTTGCTTTGGTCTTGCCATTGACAGTCACCAATTCTCCAGTGACCCCGGCCTCTGCCTCCTCACCGACATTGGCGGCGACTCCGTTGGCAGCAGCTTGAGCATCCGGCTCAGCAAGTATGTCCCCTGCTTCTCCACCAATTTCGGACCGTGGCTTGCTCGCTGCCATATCGTCAGCATCGACTTCAGCAGTCTCTCCGTCGGCCTCAGCCTCCGTCTTGGGATCGACATCTGCTTGTTCCCTCGCACTGACAGCCTCTGCCTCTTGATTGCCATCAGGACTTGTGCTCTGCACTTCGTCACCCTTGGCATCGGCGTCGACACTGCCATCGGCAAAAGTAGTGGTTGGGGACACCAACGTTTCTTCTGGCGGATTCTCGCACTCAGTAGACTTCTGCTCCAGCTCATCAATGACTTTGCAGAACTCAGCGAACACGTCATCAGGTGGTGGCTCAGCTGATATTGTGTGCAGCTTCCCCGTGCTCCTGAACTCATCAATGACGGGCTGTGTGCACGTGCGGAAAGCTGCGAATCGCTTTTGTATCGTTTCGACATTGTCATCTGCACGTCCACTTGTCTCTCCCCTCTTGAGCAGCCGCTCCTGCAAGACCTCCTCGCTTGCATCGAAGAAGGCAACGCAGTCACACCCATGCCCTACCTGCTTACACAAGCACAAGACGTGGGGCTCAGACAATGACTGACAACTGCACGTCTGATTCGAATTGTTAAGATTGACATGCAGCTGGTTATACGAGCACCGGGCAACAAATATCAGTTTATGGCAGTGGTTGACAACCATTGCAAAAACAGTTGTTGCAATCACGCAGCCCTCTTAAACTTTTGTCACGAATCAGCAGCAAGTGATACATGGCCAGTTGTACGCATTTCAGCATGATGTTATGTCAAAAAACGTAACGACAGGCACAAATGTCAGCACGTGGAGCAACCTGCCCAACCCATCAGTTGCACCCCCATCTGCAGTGCCAGACCAACCTGCTGCTCAAAATGGCCAACTTGTGAGAGCTCCCGTGGGAAGCCATCCAGCAGAAATTTGGACGCTGAGGACTTTTGCATTGCGGCCTTCAACAGACCTATTCAGAAAGACGGCAACAGCGCAGTCAGAAACACCAACCCCCGGCGGGCCCCCCAAGCATGCCATTTTCGCAGCCTGCGCCACGCGACACCCAGGAAATGCTCACCGATCGTGATGTCGTCCGGCACCATCTTCCCTTCCTGCATCAGCGCGTCGCACGCAGCCCCCTGCAGCACGTTACCGCTCAGCGAATCGACGGCCTGGAGCAAGGCGTCACGGACGTCGCGCAGACGCGCCAACTGCATAGAACGTGACGAACAATGCGGGCGCTTCCGCGACACCTGTGCGGATAACCGAGGCGACGCGGACGGCCACTCGCTGGCCCTATGGCCCGCATCCGAAACAGAGGCGGGACAGGGCGCTCCGCCGCACCCAGCCAGCTGCCCATCTCCGGCGGCGAACAATCCGAGCCGGAGGCCCCACCCACCGTTTCCGATCCGCTGGCCACCTCCTCCCGCAGCAGGTCTCCCGTGGAGAGGTGCGCCCAGCCGCCATACTTGGCCACCGCTTTCGCGCACTGCGTCCCTTTGCCAGACCTTCGCACAGCACAGAGCCACCCGGGTGAGAATCTGCCCGTCGGCGGTGCGAGCGTTGCGATCCAACCCTCGGAGGGCCGCCGGTGTGGCTCCCTCTCAGCGTCGCTCACCCCGGGCCTCCCAGCACGAAGACTGTGACGCCCGTCGAAGCGTTTCCTTGGCTCATCGCGTCGCTGTGGAAGTGCGTCCGGTGATTCTCGTCGTCCAGGGGCTTCGCGACGGGGATATGTATCCAGGCCGTGGCAGTCGCCCGGTACACGTGGGCACACGGCGCCACGCACGTGGCGTGACTCGGCCGAGCGCGGCAACTGGGTTGAACGTCATCCGCGAGGAGAATACATTACTCCCCGTTCCTGTTTGCTGAGATTCGGTTCTTGTTCAGCTGACAAGGCCAGTCCCGGTGCGTGGATCAGTAGTTGGGGTTTAGGGTGTCCGAAAACAAGAACCGAATCTCAGCAAACAAGAACGGGGAGTAATTTTATGCCCATCCGCGACACGAGCGCCAACATGCTGTGCGACGATAATGTGCACAATAGGGGTAATTGGCGCAGTCCAAATGTGATTCGTGGGAGAGACCGCGTACAGGATCTTGCTTTGACGACGGCGGGCGGGGGCGAGGGGTGGCGGCCTCGGACTGGGGACCGTAGGCTCGAGTACACGGCAACGGTTGACAGCGGAGCAAAGCGACAACAGGAATTCTGTCCCTTGTTTCCTGTCCGTTCGTCAATGTCCGAAATGCAATGCCTTAATGCCTCATCACCTCTCTAAGCGTCCAGCAGTTAATAATACTCGATCAGTTCTAGTTAGAACAGCGTATCGTGTAACGAGCAACGGTCCCCGCTGAGATCCGCATCAGCCTCACAAAAATTGCCCCCCAAACGTGTTCCCAATCGCCATTCTGGGACGCGTTGTACCACAGAAGGCGTTTCTGCCGCCAGGCATGGACACCGCCGCCGGACGCGGCGCAGCGCACAAATTGTAAGAAAGGGGGATGTGGAATATTGTTTCAGGGCCTGGTGCACTGCCCCATGGGAGGACAAGTGCCTCGTAGCGAATCCCTGCCTACCAACGGCGTGCCGTCCCACACCATCCCCGAGATTGTGAGAACCCATTGCACATCTACCACAAACCACCTCATCACAAGCCTGCAAGCCACTATATAGACGCTGATCAACGTTGCACATCTTGCGTCGACACGTGAACTTTGCAATTCCATTTTAGTAGGAAAAAAGCGTGTACGTATATGGGCGCTGGCTAAGGCTCCTATTGCCGTTTGCGTTCTTCTATGCACGGGATGTGGAATTGCAAGTGCATGAACACCATATTCTGCATCCAAATGGTGCAAGTGTGCCGCCGGCATCACACCCACACCTACCTCACATGACATGCAAGAGCAAATTCATGCATGCTCATCGCTTCATCCGGTAAATGCAAGTCCTTATGCAAATTGTGCGCTTTTTATTATTCAACTTTTCCAATATCCGAGCTTGGATTATTGGTTGAAGAAGGCGTCCATGATAGCGCACATTAAGATCGCGGCGAAAGATCCAACCATTTGATTGCTGGCCCAGCCTTGGACTGAAAATCAGCGGTGCGGTCGCATTTGAACTAATCAAAACCGGAAGTTCGAAAGTACAACCACTTCTCCTTGCACGGCCCTCGAGGGCCCCCAGAGCCGCTCAACATTTCCCCCATTTGTGGTATTGCTCATCCTCTTGTTGCTAACTACTAGCTGGGGTTGCGAGCTCACCGAACTATGCACACCTAGAAATGTCATGCGAATCTTGAATCTGATTGTTTCCTGACGAAGCTGCTTTCTTCTCAGATGAATCCAAGGAGAGCGCGAGCAACAGAAAGCACGCAACCGACGCCGGAAGCCCCTTTGAACCATTTAGACTCCAGCAGGACTTACTTCCGATGCCTTGCAATTGCGAACGATGGGCTATCTATCCGACCCATAACCTTAAAGGATCTATTTTCTTAGAATTCAATGGCTTGGAGATCGTTGTTCGTGGATTATCATGGCCAGGGCAATGCTTGCATCACAGTGCACCAATTTAGTGTTCACACACATCAGTTCCAATCTCAGCGTTGCGTTCGCTGCCACTTTCAACGTATTTCAACGTATACGTGTAGGATGGGTACATCCATTCTACACTCAGTTGAAGATTCAAATACTGTGTGGTTCCATGCCACAAACCAGCAAGGGCCGGCTCGCTCCAAGTGACTAACGGTTTCTTTCTCAAAGGAGACGGGGGCACACTGCTTTTGCACTTTAGCAAAACACCTTTACTGTACGGCAATCAAACTGCGCATCTTGGTTGTTTAGGTGCTTCACACCGCTTTGGGCACTGTCCAAAGCGGCGTGAAGCACCTAAACAACCAAGATGCGCAGTTTGATCGCCGTACAGTAAGTGCCACTTGCAGTGCATGACGCAATGATCGGTGACATGGCTGCAATCAGCTTGTGAACGAGTAGGAATGCCGGACGGCCGCCATTATGGCACAGGCCTAGCATCCCAAAATCCCAAAACACTCCCAAATGATCGACGATGGTCAAAAAATTATTGACCATGGTTTATGTGGCACATGCTTTTGTAACTGCACTGTGTTAGAAAACGGATGCGGAGCACGCGTGCCTCGAAGCTTCGAGGCAGGCGTGCTCCGCACCTGTTTCCTGACACACCACAGTTAGTTCAGTTAGTTGGTTCAAAAAAATCGAGATAAATTGCACAGAAGGCAGACGACCTGCAACGAAAATGCCGCGTCTAGAATGCGTTCCTCTGCCGTCGCTCGCCGTCCCGTGTCCTTGTCGGCTCGACTATAGAGCAACCTGATCTGTAGCAACAATTAAAAATCTCTCCAAGTACTCACGTTAGAAGACACTTTAAAGTTAATAGGACCTTCTAATTTCAAGTTGCAAGAAATGCAACACATCTACAGATGCTTGCTGTTCGCACATTGGGCATAAATCCTCGTGTGGAAAAAGATTTTACGTCACAATAAACTTAACAATAACGGGGATGGTCCTCCTGTGGGAGAGCACGCAACGCACGTGGGGGCAATTGAGCACAAGTACTACTACGGAAGTGGTACTTCAAGCAATGCTACAAGGAATGGGAATCCAAAGCATTAGAAAAGAGATTTCTATTTTGGCATGCCTCATGCAATTGAACTCACCAGGTGGCTCCAGGGATCCCTCCACCCTCCCTGGCACCCTCCCCCTAATGGGGAGGACCCGACGCCCACCGGGGATCCTAGCCCCCCGGGTAGCGCCACCCGATGGCAGCGCCACCGCACGTTGACCTGGTGGGGGAGCGCTCCCCCTCTTCGTCGCTGGCGCTGGCGTTGGCGCCCTAAGGCTCCCCCACCGGCTTTATATTGTATCTTCCCTGGCGCCTGTCCCCAGCCGAAGTGCCCGCTAGTGAGCACCTATTTTACAATTCGTCAGCTGCAGCACAAACCGTCAACGGCAACATGGCCTGCAGTAAACGAGAACACAGAAAGCAAGGAAGAGAGAGATAAGGAAACAGAAGCAAGGAAAACTTTACAAGAAAGAAGGAAAGAAAAATACCGACACGAAAAGGACTGTGGAGGACATTCTAGTGAACGGCAGCACTACGCAAGCTTTGTGCTTCAAGTCAATGACAAATAATACTTGGTTGCGTAGCTATCATCGTTTGTGGCCGTGAGACTCACCTTTCATTCCAAGTCGCATTGAAACTATTTCATGCTACTGAACACAACAAGCAATTAAATCTGATTATGGGTTCAAATTATTCATTTCACAAATAATTTCATTGAGTTTAAAGTTGATATTTACTTTTTCTATGTTTGAACTTTACAATTGTCGCTTTTTTCTAAAATTTTATGTTGCGATTAAGGTCCATGGTATTTTCACTGTCTCATCATATATTGCTTTGTTATTCTACCCATTAAATGTTAGTATAAACACAAGGCACATCTCAAGTTCATTGTTGGGTTTCATTTTTATTTGTTTTCCCCTATCTGCATTGTCACAACTCACCGTTCGCCACCAGTTGCTTGAAAATGATGCTTGCCCCAATGCGTAACACGCAGTTAAATATGAAAACTTAATTCCCACATTAAATCATTTGTAATGGTATTTTGCAATGTTACTTGCTGTGTAGTTGTAACGTTAATTGTTGTTTTGCATTTTCGCTATCATTTGATATCATTTGTATCTTGACCTTCGGATTCAACTGTGTGTTGCGAGTTCGGGCAAGCGCCATGTTCAGGTGATGAGCGGCGAACGGTGACTTGCGAAAGTGCAAAAAGGAGAAAGGCCAAAAAAGATCTGGTTTGCGTTTGAGTTTCAATTCAAATTTGATTCGAATTCAGGTTCCATTTCGAATTCCAGTTTGATTCAAGGTATGGTATCGAATTGGGGTTCAAGTTCAATTTTTAAATTGAATTCGAGTTCAATTTTGATTTCAAATTATAGTTTGAGCTTGAATTCAATTTCTAGTCCGAGTTTGAGTTTCCAAATTGAGTTCCAGCTCCAGTTCTAATTTGAATTTGACTTCAAGCTCTATTTCGAGTTCTATTTCGAGTTGTCGTTCGAGTTCCGAACTCGAACATGGTTCAAACCTGAACATGAACTCAAATTGAGTTTATGTTCAAGCTTGACAAACTCGAGCTCGATATTGAACTTGAACTCAATCACATTAGGACTGGAATTTAAACTGAAAATCAAATTGGAACTCAAACTAGAAATAGAACTGAAAACTAAATGAGTTGAAAGTCGAGTTCGAGTTCAAGTTTGAATTCCAGATTTAGTTTCAAGTTTGGACTTTTAATTTTCAATTGCCCACTGGTCGTGTCTATAAATATTTCCCTTTTTTGGTGATTCAGGTATCAAGTTCTTCTTCTTCTGTTTTAGATTACTTTCCTAGATAGTTTGATTAATTTATCCTCTGGTTTGCATTCTTCTACTTGTATGTATTCAAACTACTCTAGCAGATAACCCAACCGTCCAGATCACGATTGGTTTCTAACTTTCGCTTTGGTTTACAGTTAGCTTAGTCATCGTATTTACTTAAAGTTAGTTTACAGTTTGATTACAGGCAGAAAACGAGCAGTTTACAAGCAGTTCATAGGCAGTTTACAGGTAGTTTACAGATAGTTTACAGTTAGTTTACAGAT